TCAATTCGTCCAGTGGTTTTTGAGTTATGTTAATCCCACAAACAAACATTACATTTTTATTGATATAGATTATTTATTTATTAAAACCCTGTGCTCTTTTGAATTTGATGAGTCTAATACTGAATGCTTAGCATGGAGATAAAATGAGTTCTTTCATCAGGCATCTTCAAGTCAGACTATGGTTGCTTACAGATCTCATTTGACATAGCATACGAAGACACTGTTGCTTTCCTTTCCATTTTAGTCTCCCTTTGCTTGTGATTAGGCCACCCAAAAAGGTGGCTCTGGATAGATGTACTTACTGCAGAAGGTGTCAGATCTCCACTCATAAATAGTCACCCCTGCAGCTTGGCAGGCTGCTGCGTAGCTTGCAATCAGCTGGCAGATGACACTTTGCTGGCCATCAAAGAAGCAATAATCATACACACAGTCTTGGAAGTATCCTTCTGGATCAATCTTGTTATGGCACTCTCTGAATGGGCCTTTCTGGGCCAGGATAACCCCACAGCCCGTATTGAGTTTCCGCTGGTGGTCCTCAATGGCTGAAAGCCCAGAGCATTCTCCTTTGTCCACTTCCGTGCAGCCCGGTATCTCCTGTACTTTCCAACTCTGACCAAAGGCCGGTGCATTTGAAGTGACACTTCCATCCTTCATGGTCATATCATCATTTTTGTTGCCGTTGAAATTGCCACAGAGGCCACAAAGGGCACCAGCATAAGTACTGGGCACCATCACAGTGACACGGCTTTGCCAGTCAAAAGTGACTGTCAGGTGGAATTCAGTCGTAACCACTGCTTCTTGTCCTTTTCTATACACTAAGATTTGGTTTTCAATGCTGTATGGTAGACTGGTCAGCAAACCATTGACCTAAGACCATTGGGGAAAAAAGAAATGTTCAAATGATAGAAGCATTCTTGTAATGCATGGTTTCACCAGAGCAAAAAAGAAAACAGTAAGTAACACCAAAAAGATACATACACTGGAACGACACAGGGAGAGATCCAGTCGAACTCCATCACATGATGTAGGCTGTGGCCATGCTCCATTGATGGCCAAAGTGGCGAAGAGGCATTGCAAGTCACTTCCTTGCCAACCACAATAAGGGAATTGGCTTTTGGAGCTACCTGCAGTTTTTGGACTCCCCCCCCCCCAGTCTGATGGGGAAACGGCAATGTGGCTATTTATTTAATTATTTATTGACCATATTTACATTCTGCCTTTCTCACCCCGGAAGGGGACTCAAGGCAGCCTTACAACAGGCAGCAATTTGATGCCATACATACAAGTGTCAAATAAACAATTACAATTGCAAAAACCAAATAATTAAAACAAGAATTATTAAAACATCAATTAAATTAAAACATCAAATCATGCCATCCAAAACATAATCTAGGGCTGCTCCATTTATCAATCACATTGATTCTTGGTCACTTATTGCACTGGAGCCCTGGTGGCATAAATGGATTAAACCCTTATGCCAGTAGGACTAATGACCAACATGTCGGAGTTTCTAATCCGGGGAGAGTGCGGATGATCCCCCTCTGCCAGCTCTAGCTTCCCATGAGGTGACATGAGAGAAGCCTCCCACAAGGATGATAAAACATCCAAACATCTGGGTGTCCCCGGGCAACATCCTTACAGAAGGCCAATTCTCTCACACCAGAAGCGATTTGCAGTATCTCAAGTTGCTCCTGACACGGAAAAAAAAAAAAAACCTCATTGCACTGCATCAAAACCAGGGTCCCACAACCACATCTTAATTTTTTTCCTGAATGTCAGGTAAGATGAGGCTGATCTAATCTTTGTTAGGGAAGGGGTTCCACAGATGAGGGGCCACCAATGAGAAGGCCCTGTCTCTCGTCCCCATCAGTCACGCCTGCGAAGGAGGTTGGATCAAGAGCAGGCTGTCCCCAGACAATCTTAACATCTGAGATGGTTCATAGAGGGAGATACACTGCCATACTTTTCCCTGTCTGATGAGGGAAGGGATAGGGCGCCAATGTGCCCAGAAGCTCCCATGTGATGGGGGAAAGAGGGAGGGGGTGCAGGTCAATGCAAGGTATCATGCACACCTTCCGTTTTGCCAGTGATTGCCAAAGAATCAGAGGCGGGTGGGGGGGGGGGGTCAGTATGATGAGGTCCCTGGAGTTACAGATTGCTATGGCTTTTCCCAAATGCAAATACAGGAATATTTGGCCTTTACCTGCTTTGGTTCTCTCATTTCTGAAACCAACAAAGCAATAATTCCTTATCATAAATCAATAAAGCAAGGTAGTTTCACTATTTCTTTTAAAAGTTTTGGTCAAATATAGAGTCCCCAGTGGGGAGATGGTGATGGAGTATAAATAAAGATTATTATTATTATTATTATTATTATTAAAGTATTGGTTTAAAAAAACCTTAGTAATAAAACAACTCATACCAATGTTCTCCATGTTCTCCAGTAAAGAAATGTTTACTTCCACATCTTACATTTCTGAAGGTTATTTGAGCTAGACTAGACATTTCAGTGCTTTAGGTCAGTATAGAATAATATATAATGATATGATGTAAAATGTAGGACCAGAACAAGACACCATGCTGAAATATTTCAAAAGCTAACCAGCCCCTGCAAAGGAATCATGCCCAAAATACTCACCTTAACCTTTCCAGGGTATTCTCTGCTAATTGTAATGGCAGTCCCATTGATATGGATCTCCACAAGCCGTGAATAGGACACAGACTGGCTGCCTCGGTGGTCATTTTGGACAAGAACTTGAAAATCCATAAGGTCTTTCCTTTTTTCACACAATCCAACCAACTGGTACATGCAGGTGCCCTGGAAATCAAACCTCTTGCCATCAAAACTAAGGTAGTGAGGGTCTCCTGAAGCAGAGCAAGTTCCAAAACTGGTGGGGTAGCAATTCTGAATGCCCCCTTCTACCCTGCATTGCTCCCCTGTCTTGCAACTTCCTTGTTGGCATTTCACTTGCTTAGTTTGCGGATCACAGGTGCAGTGTCTTGTACATGTGCTGTCTGCCCAGAATTGCTCACCAGGAGAGAAGAGCTTGCCCTCAAATACACACCCACAAGCAGACTTGTGGATGCATCTTCCAGATTCCAACACAAAGCCTGCATTGCACTCACAGGTCTCCACACAAGGCAGCGAGGAACAGTTCTTGGGACCAGCTGGATCATTGCAAGTAGCTGGGCATGGCGGTCCACAGGGCTTGTACTGACTATTCTCAGGGCAAGGTAGAGCTGTCAGAGATAAGAGACAAGAATCCATGAGAAAAGGACATGGCACTTCTATGATACAGTATGTTTTGCTAGTACAATGGCCATGGCAGTCCACACCTTAGTCACATCCAGCTTGGATTACTGCAATGCTCTCTATGTGGGGCTAACTGGAGTGCCGTATCGTGAGAGGATGAATCCCATGCTGTGACAGCTCCACTGGCTGCTGGTCCACTTCCAGGCTAAATACAAAGTGCTGGTCGTTACCTATAAAGCCCTAAACTACGAGGGTTGAATGAAAAGTAATGCCTCCACCTTCGTAACTCCTCAACAGATGGAAGTACTGGTATGCGGCAGGTACTGGCTTGTTCAGTAGACTCYCCTCTACAGTTCCATTTTTGCAGGAAGCCTTAGCATTGAACAGTTGTGTTGTTAAAGTGCAAAGTATGGAACCCTGCACAGACGGTCGGTCAATGCGCATTGACCARCCATCTGCGCAGGGTTCCATACTTTGCACTTTAACAACACAACCATTTAATACCTTCTAGGATTGTCTGCTCGCTCCATTTCTCTCCAAATACCCATCCTAGTTATATGTCACCTTGTCATGCTCAGTATTTTAAAATTTTGTAGTTTAAAGCCATTGTTCCGCATCCTAGTCTCCAGGGAAGCAGAAAACAAGTTCGCTCCCTCCTCCCTATGACTCCCTCTCACATATTTATACACGGCTATCATGTTTCCTCTCAGACTTCTCTTCTTCAAGCTAAACATACCCAGCTCTTTAAGCCACTCCTCATAGGGCTTGTTCTCCATACCCTTGATCATTTTAGTCGCTCTCCTCTGAACACATTCCAGCTTGTCAATATCTCTCTTCAATTGTGGTGCCCAGAATTGGACACAATATTCCCGGTGTGGTCTAACCAAGGCAGAACAACTCCCAAATTCAAGGTCAATGCCCATCAGATCCTTCCAGTTTTTTTCTCTTGGTCATGGGAGTTCTGTGTGCCAAGTTTGGTTCAGTTCCATTATTAGTGGAGTTCAGAATGCTCTTTGATTGTAGGTGAACTATAAATCCCAGCAACTGCAACTCCCAAATGACAAAATTAATAGCCCCCAACCCAACCAGTATTTAAATGTGGGTGTATTGGGTATTTGTGCCAAATTTTGTCCAGAGAATAAAAACACATCAGATATTCATGTAGCCAAGAAAAAGATCCTAGCTAGGAGAAGCCTATGGGGCCCCTTCCACACTGCCATATAATCCAGATTGTCAAAGCAGATAGAATAGAGTAGAATATAATAACTTTACTGTATTTTGTACAATGAAATTTAATGCTTCCCCCAACACATCACAAAAACAACACCCATCCCTAAATTATATGAGTCTACACTCCTATATAATCCAGTTCAAGGCATATAATCTGGATTTTATATGGCAGTGTAGAAGGGGCCCAGATCACACTATGTCTGGTGATATAATATAATACATTTTGGATAAAATATGTGCTCTGTGCTCATCCTCCAAGAATACTCACAGCAACCTGTGGGTGTTCTCCAGTCAGAAATAGCAATTCCTTCTCTCTGACAAGTTTCTGCATAGTTTTTCAGAGCCTCACATAGGACTTCCTTGAGGCCGTCATTCAAGCAGACGTCATAAACACAGTTTTCCAAAAAGATCTCAGGGTTAATCACAGAATGGCACTGGCTGAATGGGCCATTCCCTCCTTTGGTGATCCAGCCACAGAACGGTTCAGCTTTATACTTGTTGGCCATTTCTGAGGAACACGTTTTGCATTCGCCGCGGCAGTCATCCCAACAGAACCGGTCCCCGTCCTCCACCTTCCAGCTCTGCCCAAACTCCACAGGACTGGAAACCAAGGCTCCATTTGGAGTAGTGAAGTCATCAGCAGGGTTTTCATTGTAGTTACCACAAAGGCCGCACACACTTTCTGAAAAACTACTGGAAATCTTTACCACCAGATAGCTGTTCCAGTCATAAGAGACTTTCAGTGAGAAATCAGTCTCAACAAAGACAGAGCCCCCACTCTGGTAGAGACGGAGTTTTCCTTCTTTCAAGGAGATGGGGAGCCGGGAACGCTGGCTATTCACCTGCAAGACAAAGGTCAAGCACAACAAATGGCTTAAGGTAGTTTATGCTCCACTGAGGCAGGCAGAGTGAGAATAGAGCTATTTTGAATTGCTGTACAATTCAGTTAAAACGGTTAAAACTATTTGACAAACCACATCCCCATTTACAAACTGGCTCAGGCACTGCGGTCTGCGGAGGAGGCTCTGCTCTTGGTCCCACCCCCGTTTCAAGCACGGCTGGTGGGAAAGAGAGAGGGGGCCTTCTTCGTGATCGCTCTGCTTCTGGAACTCCCTCTCCAAAGAGGTAAAAATGGCCTCCACACTCCTCTCATTTAAAAAACAACTGAAAACACACTTACATGCTTTAGCTTATGGAGAGGAGGAAGACTAGAACATCATGTATTATACCTTTAACTGGAAACAAGCTGACCTACCCTGGTTTGTTGAGCTGCAGTCCTTATTAAATAATTGTAAAGTATTTTAGCTTTATTAGATCCTTATTATGTGGGTGTATGTTTGATTGATTTGGATTGATTATGTTCTATTTAATTATTTATATATCTTGGGTTTTTTGTTATAAGTTCTTATATTGTTTTGTTTATTAGTTTTAGTTTGTTTATTGATTACTGGCCCTAAATTGTTTGGGTCCAGGTTAATTGACTAATCGCTCCTCCCTATACAGACCATCCTGTGCACTGCGGTCAGTGGAGGAGGACCTCCTCTTGGTCCCACCCCCATCACAAGCTCGGATGGTGGGAACAAGAGAGGGATCCTTCTCCATGATCACACCCCGTATCTGGAACTCCTTCCCTAAAGAAATAAAAATGCCCCCCATCCTCTTCTCCTTTAAGAAACTTCTGAAAACACATTTATGCACTTTGGCATATGGAGAGGAGGAGGATTAGGACATTTTAACCCATTGGCACGCTGGCTAACCCACTTGTATTTCATGGCTGCTACGATACATCTTAAATGAATACTGGTGTTAGCCATTTTAATGTAATTGTATAATAATTTATTTTAAGGTATATGTTATAATGTTTTACTCATGTTTTAGTTTTCTATGCCTTATTGGATTGTTTTTTATTATTTTCATCTCAATGCACAATTCTTTGTTGTAAGTTTACTGTTGTTTCTGTGCATTATCATATATTATTTTGATGTGTTTGTATTCATTTGAGGCACTGAATGTTTGCCTTTTGTTTTGTGTCTGTAAACCGCTCTGAGCCCCTTCAGGGAAAGAGTGCAGACTAGAAATACATCATCATCATCATAATCTTTGGCATTGAATGTTTGCCATTTTTCTGTTGGAAACTGCCCTGAGTCCCCTTGAGGAGACAGGACAGGTTACAAATAAATTATTATTATTATTATTATTATTATTATTATTATTATTAAAAAAACTAAAATATAAGATAGAGTGATTTGTCATGGATGTGCTGATTGTCATCAAAAAGATTCATAAGTACTATCAAAGCTCTTTTGTCTTAGGAAACACTCCATATATATTGCCCAAATATTACTTTCCAAATTTACTTCTGACTGCTTACCGTTTACAACATGCTTAATTACCTTCTCATTTGAATGTCAGATGAGCTTACAATTCAAAGTCACATTTTAGCACAGCACTATGATCTTTAGATTGAGCATTTTTAAAATCAAATATCTTTCTGTATGGCCAAGTTTCTGCATCTTTTCCACAGGATTAACTTTGATTGTTGGCTTATGTAATTTTAATGTTTTTAATGTTTATATTGATATGCTGTAATTCCATGTTTTATGATTTAATTGATAATAGTATGTTATCATTATGTTCAATTTCTGTATGCGAGGCATTAAATTTTTCCATAATTATGTTGGAAACTGCTTTGAGTCCCCCACTGGCGTGAGAAAAGTGGTATACAACTGAAGTAAATAAATAAATAAATATCTCTCAAAGTGTAGCCAGAAAGAATATTGCCTTATTGTAGACAACCTAATCTAGAGTTTAAATTTGCTTAGGGGAAAATTCTGTTTTTATTTGAATCTTGACTCCCTTTTTCTAAAGAAAGTCTGAATCCAATTGTTCATCCCAGTTGGAAATGTGAAAAATTTAGATAAATCCAATCGAATCAGTACGTCTATTTTGCTTCAAACAACAAATGGATTCAGTTCTTTGTGTTGATGACTCACACATCAAACGAAAGTACTTGCTAACATATCAGAATAGTACACTCCACATTAGGAGCTTTCAGTATCATGTCGTTCCCATTATGAATTGTGAGAAAAGTTATGTATGATATGTAAACAAATCAATCATGAAGCAAATGGAGCATATATGTTTGGGCAAGCAAAAGTAAAAAAAGAACAAGACTGTCTTGTAGTCTTACCCGAACAAGTCCAACCTCATTTCTTGCAACTGAGATGGTGATGTTATAGGCAGTTACTGTCACTGAACCAACATAGGAAACCCGGGTATTTCCCCTGTTTTCATTCTTGGCCTCAACGCTGAAGATAGGAAGAGTTGCATCATGGCTACATGTCTTAGCGATGGTGTAGGTACAGGTGCCCATGAAGTCAAATCTCTTTCCATCAAAGGTTTGATAATGGGGGTCTCCCTGAGCCCAGCAGATGGCTTCAGACTCTGCCACACACACAGCGTTTCCTTCTACGACCTTACACTGCTCCTTCTTCCTGCAGTTGACCATGCTGCAAGGTGACACTGGTTTGCCTAGAACAAAACAATTCTAATATTTCAGTAAAAGCAAGAACAATAAGTGTCCATCAGAGGGAATGCCTCCAAAATGAAATCTATGAAAAAAGGAGAGGTACATTTCAGGATGTGAAAACAATGGCCTTTAACATTAAACATTTGGTCCTTTTTCTTCATAGAGTTCATTACATGGTCTTCAGCATTATTTGTTTTCTTTTTAGCCATAATGAGGCCTTTGAGATCCACATCTACTAGAGAAGTCAAAGTCAGCTTTAGAATATTTTAGATATTTTGGTGATCACAGGCAGAGAATTTACTAAAGAAAACTTTTGAAAAACCAAACAAACTTTGTCATCTGGGCCGAGCTCTAGCACAGCTGGTAAAACACCACCAATTATAAGATCTACCAAACAAAAGGTTGCCAGTTCGAAGCCCTGGGTCGGCGTGAATGTCAGCCCAGCTTACTGTTGACCGAAGCAGTTTGAAAACAGCTTGAGGTGTAATTAGAGAAATTAGGTACTGCTAAAACAAGCAGGGGAGGTATTTTATGACACCATAAAGAAAAAGATTAGAAAAATGCCTAGTGACCAAAAGGAAGGAGGAAGTCCTGATGGTTCTTCATCACAGAGGATGGTGCGACAGCACCCCCCATGGCTGGATTCGAGCACAACCTTCCAAGCCACCAAAAAAGCTGGGTTTTGACACAACATACCTTCTTTCTATTCGGTCTGTCTCTGTATTGTCTATCCAAAATGGCTTTGAATGTTTGCCGTGTTTGTGTACTGTGATCCACCCTGAATCCACTTGGGGAGGTAGGGTGGAATATAAATAAAGTATTATTATTATTATTATTGTTATTATTATTATTATCTCATTGACAGAGGAAAATAAGTACTTCTTATTGTTGTTGTTTTTGTTGTATGTCTTTAATTTGTTTCCAACTTGCAGTGACTATAAGATGGAGCTTTCTGAGGCTGAGAGTATATTATTAATATACTCACCGAGTGGGTTTCCATGGCAGAGCAGGGAATCAAATTCTGGTCTTTAGAGTCATACTCCAACACTTAGACCACTACATCATACTTACTTCTCTGTTTGATATAGCCAAAAGTGAGGCACACATTAGATTCAATGGCCTGTTAGAATCATGTACATCAACACTCCTATGCTCCTCCGTCAGGCTGAGGCTAGAGAACTTGCCAGACCCAGTCTGATGGAGAGGGATGCATTGCTCTCCCAGCTGGTCTCATTCACAAGTTCTTCAAAACTTTCCCTCAGGGCCCTTCCACACAACCTATATCCCAGAATATCAAGGCAGAAAATACCACAATATCTGCTTTGAACTGGGTTATCTGAGTCCACACTCAGATAATGTGGGATTTCCTGCCTTGAAATGTGTCAGGCAGAGCTAAGCTGGAATAGTTAGGAATACTGCAGCAGCCAAAAGCAATCACATAGGTTGAAACAAATTTAGATTCCCTTTGGATTCTGTAATTTCTCATTTGTGATCTGAAATTGTGAGGACCTCTGTCACGCTTTATACAACTTTCATTTACTGTAGCAAAGCCTAGATTTAATACACAATTTAGGATACTTACTGCAGGTGCACAGGGCCACAGAGCCATAGCCATCATATTGTGCGACACCTAGGATGAGGAGTCCAAAAGTTGCGCTGAGATGCGTCATGGAAAGAGCTTTTGCTTCTTTGCCTAAATAATATTCACCCCATGAATACGGAGTACCCGGGATTGATTTCCATTGGATATTTTCAATGGCCTTATTCTGTATTCTGATCCCACTGCTTTCTGAGGTGTTGGTAATGAGGATGGCATAATTAAAAAAACTGACCATTCCATCAATGTGGTAGGATGTGCAATAGCTTGTCACAGCTGGAATGTTGATGATGAATGGATCATAGGATTCACTTCCTCTCGTAGACCCAGCAAAGAAGAATATGACTTGGATGCTAGCATTGGCAGTGAAGTATTGCGGCTGAGAAGGAGGCACATCATATGTGATAACTTGCCCAGCCACCACATTATGAGTCGTTTGTGTATTTCCAGACTGATATTTGATGCAAGTGTTCTGGGAAACAACTACATACACAATGTCAAGTCTGCTTTGCAAAGGTAGAGGGGGCATAATGAATGTGTTACCCCAGCTGGAAACAGGCAGGAGCTGTTCAACAACATGATCACAACTTGTAATTCTCCAGGCACAGCTGTGCCCACTCATGACAGCTACAGGCAGAGTTGATTCAATCCTAGTGCCAGATAAATCAGATGAGCTTTGTAGCTGGACTGTTTGGAAGGCGCTTAGGTTCACAACAAGTCTACTTCCTGTAGGATATGTTCGCCCTTTGAATACTACAGTTCCTTTTAGAAGAATATCAACTTTGGTGGGGACCTGGTAGGCTACAACTGCAAATTCTTTGTATGTGTTGGCCATATTACCCATTGGGGTTATTGCATAGTACAATGAGCCAAGCTGCTGAACTGGGTACACAACAGTCGTGGCACTGGTTTGGAATTTGTAGTTGCGAGACAAGACAGAGATATCTTTGTCAGCTCTGATAATTACAGTGTTCTCAAAGATATCACTTCCTATCATCTCTATTGAAGTTGGAACCTCTACACTCACTGTCTCTCCTTTATTGACAGAGGCAATTCTCTGGAATGCTGACTTGTTTACCGTCACTGTAACACTGGTTGCAGGATGATGCCCAGTGATAAGAAACTCAAATTTAGGACTGGGTTGGGTTTTCCAGCTGTTCTGCATGAAAGCTGTGATAAATTCCCTTCCACGGGAACTTGCTCCACAAGGGCCTGAAGTAAAACAAAGAAATAAAACAAAGAGAAATTGCTAATTGTTAGAAAGCAGTTATAGAAATCTATGACATAAAGTATCAATGTTTGTTGTTTGGGTGGACAAGTTTTCTAGTCAGTTATTAAATCTATATTTTGAGAGATGAATATTTCAGGGGTCCTGGAAGTTTTACAAATGTGACTAATAAGAGTATATACAGAATACTGCAATTTATTATGTTCATGTTTGTATGCTGCCTTTGAAGTTCCCTGATTTTCAGCATCATTTGTAAATTGCTCCACTGTATCATCAAATCCACTATATTATTTGCTCACTCAGGACGCTTCCAGGCAGCACTAAATCACAGGTTTTAAACAGGGCCAAAAAATCCTGGGACTTCAGAAGAGGTCCACATACAGACCTGTCGGTCCTAGGATTTCTGCCTCCATTGTCCAGAATTGATGCTTTGTTGTGAGATTTAGAGCCTCCCAAGATGGCTGCTGTGGGAATTCCACCGGAAACTTCACGTTTTTTAAAAAAATCCTCAAGATGCAGATATTTGAATATGCGAAGAATCACTGCAGCTAATTACTGAAAAAGTTTCATTCTTTGTCCTGGTCAGCAAAACTATGCCCTTCACATGTTTCATGAAATTTCTGGCACACAAACAAATTTTTTCCTTCTACTCAAGTGTCACCTTCTTTTTAGGAACCGACCAATCAGGGACAAGCATCTAAAACATGGGAACAAACCAAGATTAAAAAATCCCATGATTTCCAATTGTAGGGACATACAGACATGCAAAGATCTGCATATTCGGCTCAAAACTGCAATATTCCTGCACCTGGAAATCTCACATTTTTGCCATTTGTAGCTATTGCTTCTGCGTTCAGAGGGAATGGCATCAGGCCACCCTCTTGTTTGCTGTGGAAGCTCCTGGGATAAAGGTACTATATGGATGGGTCCTCAGTCCTGAGGCTTAGTATTGTCATTCAGTGCAGATTCTGTTATCAAGACTCTATGTAAACAGAACTTTTATGGCAATTGTCTCCTTTGAGCATTAAGCATAAAACTTTAATCCAAGCATTCATGCAACTGTGTTCCCATCTTGATCTTACAGTGATTAAGGTAGAAAAAATGACCACAACAAAACTTTGTGTGTTGTTGCCCTCTGTTTTTAAACCAAACATTATTCATTCTCCTTAACCTCCTTCCTCAATATATGCCTGGCTTGTTTTCTTTGGAATGGTGTGGTCTGCAAACATTTTAATGATTCTGAGGGCAGACAATCTTGACTGGGTGTGTGCTGATAAGTGAAGGTTTTATACTTTGGCCTCAAGAAAAGGGATTAGGCACATAAAATCCAACATGTCCAGTAGAGGAAGACAAGAATGCCATGCTTCTTGAGTTCTCGTTTTTTCTGCAAAGGTTAGATATATGACAACCACACTCATGCATAGGAATTTCAGTTTGGTTATGTGAATACCACCAGAGGCAGGTACAGATCCTGAACTTCTAAGCAAGCCTAAATTATAGTGAAATGTATGAGAATCCCTACATTTCATGAGTGTTCAATACAGGAATGGCTACTATACAGGAATGACCCTAGAGCCTCGGGTGTCGGCAGTAGCCAGGCGTGCCTTTGCACAACTAAAACTTGTGCACCAACTGCACCCATACCTTGAGACGCCTGATCTGGTCATAGTAGTCCATGCCTTAGTCACATCCCATTTGGATCAATGCAACACGCTCTATGTGGGGCTGCCTTTGAAGATAGTTCAGAAGATTTAACTGGCATAGAGATCTGCAGCCAGATTACTAACTGGGGCTCTGCACAACGAGAGAAGAACTCCCATACTGCGGCAGCTCCACTAACTGCCAGTTCGCTTCCAGGCTAAAAACAAAATGCTGGTTATTACCTATAAAGCCCTCAACAGTTTGGGCCCAGACTGTCTAACAAACTGCCTCTCCTTGTCAGAGGCGGCCCTAGGTAATTTTCAATGGTAAGCAAACAGTATTTGCCCCCCCCCCCCCCAACCAATCACTGATATATATTTTCTGTTCGTCATGGGAGTTCTGTGTGCCATATTTGGTTCAATTCCATCATTGGTGGAGTTCAGAATGCTCTTTGATTTTAGGTGAACTATACATCCCAGTAACTACAACTCGCATATGTCAAGGTCTATTTTC